ATAAGAACAATACTTAGACATAAATTTTTAAAATAAATATTATCCTCTCAAAATAGTTCAGAAGGTCTGGAAAAAATTTCCTTTTTATTAACCTAAACAGAAAAAAAAAATCTAATCAACTACGACACAACCTAGCAGTAATTTTTGCTTTCAGATCTGAAGATTTAGTGGGAAAATCTGGAAATGTGCATACTGTGGTGACTGTGGGCTCTGAAATTGCCTGGGATGGGAAAGACTGGTAAGAAAAGCTCTTTAAATGCCACACTGCTGATGAGAGAATCTACCTGACGTAGCCAGCTGAGGCGCAGCAGCTACTTTTCTTCATCTACTGTAGGAGGCTTTGCACCTGCAGACAGCAAACGGTCTGAATCAGTCATTACTATCGTGAACTAAAACAACATTGTAAAAGCTTGACTGTCTCTGGTACCACAATAGAGTGATCAAATAATCCAGCCATGCACAAGCATTTCCAGTATAAGGCAGCCAGGGCTGATGGTTTTGCTCTATAATGACCTATTTCAGATACATACACACATAGATTTATGTATATTTTATTTAAAAATAATGGCAGGACATTGCTTTAAAAATCATGGTTGTCTCTGCTTCCATCTGCAAATTCTGACATCATGTCTTATAATTTGTCCCTATTTCTACTGCGCATCTTTCATCTTTTGCCGCTGTTGAGCTGACTCAGAATCAAATCACCAGTAAACCTCACCATCACCCAATGTGATCTCCTATAGAGGAGGAGGAGGAGGAAGGAGAAGAAAAAGAAATAAAACTGTTCCTTTAAAACGCCGAGCATTTAAGCTGCTTGTCAGTTGTCTTCCTGACAAGGCCACTTGAATGTATTCAGGAATATTTGCATAAATGCTCACAGTGAGTTCACCATGGCAGCTAGCGCTAATGGTACATAAAGTAATTTAGTCACTTCTCTTAGGCATCCTGTCAGAGTGATAAGCACCCCCTCTTTGCCTTGTTGCATATTAGATCATTAGATAATAAAGTGTTAGAGCATGCAAACTGACAGGGTCTCAGGGACTATCATTTTTCGAGGGCATTGCATTCTGCCAGTAAGGAAAAATAATAGAGAAACTGATGCTGCAATTGGCTTTGCAATTCTTGTAAAGCCATTCAAAAATCTGAGGAGAAAGAGAATATTTACTTTGCAGCAGTATGAGAGGTTTAACTGGGAAATTTGCAGTCATCTGCAGCGGTGGACTCCATGCTGTAAACTTGAAAAGGGTTGTTGCAGACCCTGTCAGAATTCCCCCCTTCCATAAGCTAGTCGCTTAAATTGCCTTGGAAAGATTTTGCTTTTAAAATTGACCCCCTCGGATGAACTACAAGCTGATATATATTCTACTGGTTGGGGCCTACTGCCTTTTCACTATACATCTTACTATATGAGTACAATTTAGAAAGATTTAGAAAGGTCAACCACATCGGCTTTCTGGTTCACCATAAATATGAAGCAAGTGAAGATCCAACTATTTGTGAATGAAAAAGTGATAATTATTAAAAACCACAGATGTCTGTGGCTTACTCTATTTATACCACACAGAGATGTACGAAATAATTGGCCACTGCCAGCTATTACTTTTGAAAGATAGATATATTTGAAATACTAGTTTCTTAACCTGCTGGTTTCAAGGAGCACAGTGTGTGGATAGCAAACCATGATCTAGGTTCCTAGTTATATTCACAGAGACAAGCTACAAAAAGGAACTTTCATTTTACTGTCTGACAAGCAAGATATAAATAGAGATGTGTTGGATGTCCCAAAAATAATTCAGGCTACCTGCTAATAAGATGGTAAAATGCCAGGCTCCTGAACAGCTCAGGAGGCAAAGCTTTCTTTCCAGCTTTTTGGCACCCAAAGTCTTTTTTAGGTGTAACATGAACTGTAGCTCCATGTTTAAGAGTAGCATGTCCCAACACATCTTTGTAAAAAAGAAAAAAAACCAAAACACCAAACCCCCTGAATATTGTCTAACTAATTTAGGCAACCAGCACACCTTCTGGCTACATTCCTCCCCTCTCCCCAGCCCTCACAGAGTCAGGCATTCATCTCTATTGAGATCAGATATTTGTATTAAGGAGCTAAATATCTAGCAAAGTACACAGGAATATATTTAGTCAAGGCATACTACAGTTAAATTCCAGCATTTAAAAACCTACGATCAGAAGTTGCTCACCAGAGCAATTTAACCAGAGAGAAACCAGCCATGACTACATCAGGTCTCCATTTCACCTCTTACAGGTACTGTTCAGGTCAGTCTGTCCTCCCCCCGAGGGAGGGAGAAAAGATGGAAACAGGAAAGGCAAACAGTCTTTGCTACTTGCATTTGAAGATATTACCCAACATAAAGATTCTAAAAACTGAAAAAAATATTATGTACTTTGGGACTCAAACTAAAAGTAACAATTAATTTCGGTGGAGGAAACTGTCATCTGTTCCAGTGGGTCTAAGGTTTGTGGTAGTTGCCCAAAATTCAATAAAATTAAGCCCAGTTGCGACTTCGTCTATCTTTTTTTCATTTGCTTAAGTGTTTCATACATCTAATAACATCATTTTAAACACTTACTTCATTTTTTTTAATTACTTGTATTTTTTTCCCTGTCTCTTGGACGCAAGTGTGCATAGAATTCCTGGAGAACCAGACTGCAAGATTTAGGTTAAAAAGAAACGCTTCAGCAAGCCTTTGGGAAGAGCGCAATTTTGTAATGTGAAGGCTGCCATTCAAAAGTAAGAATTTACTAGAGGTTCCTTTATGATGTTGCTTGAGAGGTGCCTGAAAATGTAGATTAGAAAAAATCATGTTTCCCACCAAATGTACACATAGAGATATTTCGTAGATGTTGACATTTAATATTAGCACAGTAACTAGGGTTTGTATATATGTGTAAGCACAGCATTATCTCTTTTGGCTTCTTTTTGCTATGGTAAAATGAGATGCAATTATACCATGCATGGGAATAAGAACATTTATGTATGAGAAAGTAAGCATTGCCTTGGCCAAAAGCGTCCACTGCAAACACTGTGATGGGGAGGAGCGGGGAGAAAAGACGGCATCTACTGTAGTAGGAATATAAGTAAAAAACAGGAGTGTTTTTTGAAAGACTAGACTTCATGGAAAGACTACAAAGTTGAACACAGAGAAGTTTCCTTTTGTAATGTTCTGCCTTCTGCTAATTAATAAAGACAGAGTTCGTACATTCCTTACAAAAATTCAGCAGAAATTATGACAGTGGTTTGTTTATTAAATTAGGTTGTTGGCAGGACGAAAAAAAAATTCTATAACATGAATTATGGCTGAAAATGGCTCAAAGCCTACAGAACTAAATAAATACAGATGTAAGTTATGTTTATATAATGAGAAACGCTGCTGAGCTAAGAATTTTAGGTTAGTAAGTGTGAACTACAGACCCGATTCTGCAAACACTTATCAATACCCTCAACTTTACTGACACAAGAAGCCTCATTGATCCCAACAGGACCATATGTGTGCATAATCTTAAATGTATGCATAAGTGCCTGCAGGACTGATGCCTGAAAGCATAAACAGAATAGAAAGCTATTTCCACAGGAATGCACTGAGTAGTAGAAACGCATACGTTTGCCCATTTCTCAGTATTAATAATTTCTGTTAAGATATTTAGTTAACATTTTTGTGAAGTGGCATTCACTCTGCCAGAGAAAATTTTATTTGGTTTCTTCAAACTCCTTGGAAAAATCTATTTTGGAAAAATCCATTAGATCCTTGGCAAATATTTGTGAAACAAACCAGCATAAAGGACTTCTACACTCAGCTACTTCACGCTCAGCTACTTCAGTGGAAGCCGAAGGTACGCTTCTGTTCGAGGGAGCAAGCACCTATTGAATTTAGGATTACAAACAGCTTTGAAGACAAAGAGCTATTCTACCAAGCTGGAGCAGGGAGAGGGTAGTGAAATGCCCTCTGTTTTTGTTTTGTTTTTCAGTAGTAGTCATCAACTTTAAGGACAAAGAGCAAAACAAAACATTAATCAAATCCAGATTTTTCAAAGTACATTTGCACTCAACAACTCCCATTTTAAGCACCTACAGTCACCAGCAGATGTTCTCTTCTAGGACCAGCTGATCTTACGGAAAAGATTACTGTCCCTCAGGCTGCTTCCAGCTACGCGCCCCCATCCCATCCTTGCTGGAGTTTTCTGTCCTTTCAAAAAAACCCAGACAAATTGCCTTGCACCATTTCTCCTTCAATCATTTCAGCAAAATAAGCTAGATTGGCAATGAGTTATTATTTAAATGGTTTAACTCAAATGAACTTCTTTGGACTGAAGGAGACTAGGGAACAATCAGACAACCATCTTGGCTGGCACATCCATGGTGGAGAATAGCCTGCAGCAGGCAGGAAAGACAAGCAGCTGTGGCACGCAGGGAAGAGCAGCTTCCTCAGCTGGCACAGCTGGAGCCAAAAGAGAACACTCGCCCATGGCTTGAGTAAGCAGATGGATTTCCAAAAGGGCTCTGCTTTCATTTAGGGCAATTCAAAGAAACAGCTGGATCTCCTAGAGATCTCAGCACTCTATGGATAGAAGAAATCCAATCTGAAATTTGGGTGCTGAGCACGTCAGAAAATAGGCAACGTCCTTTAAGATGCACAGTCAACAATCAAGGCAGTTTGGAAAAATCAGGCTCCAATTTTAGGCGCTGAACAGATGCAACTGAAAATAAAGAAACCACCACACTTTACTGGCATATAAGACAGACTGTGCCCATGTTTGCTTCCAGGTTTGTCATTTCACTACATTTAGTGTTGACCTACTTGAAAAATTTCCCCTTTGGTCTGGAGGCCAGTCTCTTTAAAATATCCAGTCCCAGAGATATAAACTGTTTCAGGACAATTTGAAACCAGTAGCCAGAGACACAAACCAAATAAACCCACATTTAAAGCAGCAATGCTAACCAATGAAAATGATATGCCTACCATGTTCCAGATAAGAAGGCGTACCTTCCGAGGGATCAAGTCTTCGAGCTCTCCGCCCATGCTTGGAATTGTTGTGTACAAACATGTTGTCCGACACTGCCAACACATGGCCATCAACATTGACTGTTGTAGACACCACAACCTGCAAGCGCAAGAGCAAAATGGAGGAAAATTTGGATATATACGTATGGTTTTTAAGAAACACAGAGTGTAATAAACTCAGTTAAATAAATAACAGCTCGGAGCTGCAGAAAATTGCATAGCTATTTCGCATAATAACTGGTTCTTACGCTGTACAAATCTAACAAGAGATGCTATTGATGAGTGGATCTTTGGCATCGAAAGCTTTTGATGCAGTTTTAAGTCAAATTGCAGTTTGTAGCTGCATGGTAGATGGCACACTGTTAACCATCATTTTAACAAGAAGACCTTTATTAAGTATTTTTTCACCTATACACAAGGGCAGCTGTGTTTCCCCCTAAATTACCCTTCAGTTTCCATGCTGAAGTAGATAGAGCTGTTGACATTGCAAATGAAAATCGATTCAGAATAAAAGAAAAGAAAAGTGTATTTTGTGAAGTTGCAAAGAGAGTTGTTGCATACCTCCTGCCCACACCCTTAACTACCGTTCTCCCCTCAGTATAGTCACTACAGGTTGTTGGACTTACCCAAATTTCTCCTGAAGCCTATCCTAGGGAATATATATAGGTATGTTTGTGTATGCATGCACGATTGACAGTGGGGTCTTGATCTGGAGAACACAACCCTATTCATCCACAGTTAGAATTAGATATATTTCTCAACTTATCTCAGTGTCAACACCTAGGATTTGGTTTGAGGTGAGAGGAGGGAGACAAAGCAGCACTGCCCTGGAGACAAGATCTGACACTACTGCTCACTGGAGCAGCCCAGAGTGAGAGAGGAGCCAACCCAGCGGGGACAAACAGGTAAGTATTGGATCCAGAGCAGAAGACCCAACTGCTCAGAGGTGTCCAGAGGGACCTTCTCAACCTTGAGGCTCGGCAGGCAACATACTATAGAAAAATCTCTGTTCAGGCTGAGGGCACTCGCGCCAAGAAACTTCATGTAGGAAACAGGGGGTGCACAGGTCCAGTGCGCGGCAGAGTTGTGAGCTCCTCATAGCAGGTCTCCTGCAACCCCACTCAGACCAAGCAACCTCATAGCCCCTCCGGCTCTCATTCAGCTGCCCTCTTCCACGGTCTTTCCCCAACAAGCTATGGCATTCCCAGGGTTTTGGCCTTCAGCTAGCTGCTGGTTTGCCAGCAGCCTGCATTGCCTTCAAGAACTTTGACTAAAACAATAAGAAGAAATGACCTACACTTCTCCTTACATTAAACAGGGAAAGGGATTAAAAACCGAAACCCACAGAGATATGTTTATTCATGCGACCTCTTACAACCAAATATAATAATTGTCTGTTAATTGCAGTTTCAGCTCCCACCTCATGCTTCGACATGTGAAACAGCAATCAGCAGCTCCTGTTTAATCCACCTATTATGTTGACTAATTAACTTTGCTCGACAGTTTATTTCTTCCTCCATTATCAGCCCCTGTCAGCCGCAAGCACACTGCCGCAAAGGGGGACCTCAGCCCTTTTGATTGATCACCGATAGATTGACATGCAGATTAATTTAATTAGAATCACCTCACTTGAGAAATGAAAGACAATGGCAAGGGGGCTAATAGATCTGCTCTTATAATGAGGCAAGCCTCCAGAGCCACGGCAGAGGATTTCTGATTTATTTTGCTGAATTCCCCAGCCGCTCTGAAAGGCTCTCGCTTTAATTGTTCTTGGTTTTGAGAGGCTTTAGCCTCTGAAGAGGTGAAATGCTTTACAAGGATTGGCAAACATTGCTTCAACTCTCTCAGGAAGCTGCTGCCTCTCAAAGTTGGTCAAATGGGGACACTTAAAGGATCACTTACAACAATTCAATTTCATCACTTGCACTGGATCTATAAAAAAAGTTAAAGAAAAAAAATTTCACCTCTTTTTGACCACTAATTAAAATGCTCAAAAATATAAAGTAAGTAAAGATGCTAAATTGCCTATAGCTAATCCCAAAGCCTTTGTCTTTAGAAAGAGGAATACAAAAGAGAATATTTATATCAAAAGGATCTTAAACCCTCAAAATAGCATTCCAGGCAATACATTCTTGTGTGTGTTTTAAGTGAAAGATATTAAAACACAGAATAAATGATTCAAGAGCTCTTACAGATGGAAATTTGGGAAAAAGGAACCAAACACTATAGGTAAGTTTTTCTGAAATCAAACTAAGGGGAAAAAAACCCCAAGCCCTATATATAAAATTCCAAAAGGGATTTCAAAAGTAATTTATCCATTGCATTCCTGAGGGATAGAATAAAGTTTATGATATTTTCAATAATATATGATCTTATAGTAAGTGGCTCAGGGTATGCAATCTTATTTGTGCACTTGCAACCATTGTAAATTCTTTGCAACTGGGATTTTGAGCCAAATCCTCAGCTGGCATTGCTTGTCACAGCTCCATGATTTATGCCAACTCCTTATCATCTTCTCTGGGTCTGCTTAGACGCATATGAAAGTTAACAGTATTACAATTAATAGCAATGGCTACAACATACAATACTCTCTCCAATACTAAATCCATATAGGTACACACAGATTTCCCATCGAAACAGATCAATCCTGTGCCAAAACACAAACTTTTGAATGTTTCTAGAAATAGGATTCCAGAAAAATAATGGATCAAGAGTAACAGAAGAAAAGTAGGTCTCAGATCTGTGAAAATCATATATACAAGTACCTGTCACTATACACTCACATTTCTAGGGAAGAACTTGGGGAAACAATCCTAGTGAGGTCAGTTTTATGTGAGTAAATCTACATTTAATTTTTCCCTCCTCAGGTTTCCGAAATTGTTGATGAAACATATTTTGAGTCACTTAACAGTGTCTTCTTACCTACCTACCTACCTCCTGAACAGAGTTTGATTTACTACAAAGAGACCACATTGGTGTGGTTCTTCAGTGTCCTTAGCAGAAGAAACTATAAAAGGAATCCCCAAGAGAAACTGTTTCTAGTTTCAGGAAACCAGAGAGAAAAAAAAAAAGTGGTTACTCTTATGTATCTTTCTGAAGAAATTCATAGTGCACCTGTAAGAAGCAGCACACCCTTACTGCTCAATTCTCTAAATACAAAATCTCATTAATACAGCAATAGTGAATATACATTGCACTAACAAAATGATAATGCCCCTAATTATTAACAAACTAAAAATACACCTTAAATATTGTGTGACATAGTTACATACCTGGATTGCTACAGAGCACTTACATACTTAAAGTGCAAGTTCTACTCATACTTTTTAATCCAAAAAAATACACTCTCTGCATTTTGATTTTGAAATGACTGGGATATGTTCAAGTTAAAGCACAGGCTAAAAGTAATTTGTGGAGAAATCATAAAATTAGGGGGAGGGGAAAGCCAAAGTATATGTGGAATGGGCACTGAGGCATCCTAAAACACAGACCTCAGCAAGAGGGAAAGGCACACTACAGTTTAATAAATGATTAATGAGGTGCTGACACATTAATGTAAGCACAGGGACAACCAGGCCTGCCAAATCTCAAACCTTTCCAAATTTTGTCAACAAAACACAGTTTTAATTTGGGACAGGCAAACATGGAAAATGATTTTGAGCTTTAGCCTTAGCCCTTCACAGATTTTGCATTTAAATCCTGTATCAACACCAGGGGAGACAGAGGTATAAACGAAACACATCGGTTTACAACTTTCTTCAATGAAGTTGGCACTATCAACTGCATTAACGTATCACGGCTCTGTGAATTATTCTGCCTGCCATTAAATAGTTCAGTTTGTGAATACTTTGGAGCTTAGTTTAAAAAAATAAAAAATATTCAGAGACCGGGAGCCTGGAGATCAAGCTATTTATCCACGTTTAGCACTTGGCCTGTTTATTTGTTATAGTACCTCACCTAATACATCAAAATTAAGCATTGCATGACTCCTCATTTTTAACCACAGCCCATTAAGCTTTGCTAACTGATTAAGACATAGCATGTTCCTTGTGCTTTCAATTTTCTCCGACGTATGGTGAGGGATCTGATATTTTTGTGAAGTTCCCAACTTCCAGTGGCAAAGGCAGAGAAAATCTGATAAAGACAATTCCCAGGTTTGCAGTGTGGCACTAGTGTTAAGCCTGTAACGCCAGTGTTTGCTGGTCTTCTGAACACTATGCAGAAATGGCCTGAGCGACATCTTTATCTTCATCACCACTTTGCGACCTCTTCCTACAATGTGTTGACTTCTTTATTCTAGTAAGTGAAAACTGCTCGCAGTTTAACAACACATTTAAAAGGTGCCTAACTTAATAACTACAGCGCATTCAGTAATTTTGCTCACGTGCTCAAGGACAGGCCGGGCACTTAATTACCTTGTTGAATTGGGCCATAGCTCTCACTGCTATTTTTCAGTCTTTTTTTTTTGCCTTTGCCTTCTCTGGGGATGGAGCCTTGCATGTCCAAATTCCATTATCTGGGATTCATGAAGCATCATCTCTGTCTCTTATGCAAATTTGCAATAAGAGACAAGTGGCTTCAATTCAAACATGAGTGGCAGCGTCCCATGGAGGCAAACTAGCAGCCTAGGCTGAGGAAGAGGTTGTGGTAACAGAATCAAACAGCATGGCAATTTCTAAGTGACTTTCAAGGTTTTCATAATAAATGAATGTTTGGGGTTTTATGCAGTGACTCAGTTTGAAAAGTTTCCTCTAAATTAAAACTTGACATATGTCAGTTTGCAAGCAGTTGTGCTAAAACAAGAACAACAAGATAACTAGGGCACCCGGGTTTCATTAATTACAATAACATACAAAACTGTTTAGGTTGAATGAAGGAGTTTTTAGTTCTGAAAACAAAATCTGGGCAGAGTTCACTCATGATACCATCTACTTAGTATTATTATTATTATTATTACCACTAATTGGGGCACTTCAGCCTGCCTAGACTGATGACTTACTTGTGATGAAGAATGCAAAACCAGACTGAGCATCTGTTCCATGGGGTTTCCAGAATAAAAAGGCAAGGCTGCACAAAGGTGTCAGGACTTAATATCACCAAATGCTTCACGCAGTTGGGCCAATGAAACAGAGATGAAATGATTTTCTCAAGGACAAGCAGGGAGTCTGAGTACAAGTCAACTGTCTTGAGTCTCTGCACAGTACTTGACTTCTCCTCTCTGTCTCCTTCTGCTAATAGAGACACAACGAACACAGCCAGGGCCAGCACTGCTCCAGCACACGTTTTTGCTGGCACTCAATGCTGCTCCAGCTGTAAATGCCTGGACATCTCAGCCAGGCAAAGAAATATGTTTCTTTTCAGGGCCACAGCTGCTTTTATGTTAGGCTTATCACACTACCACATTTGCATGCAAAGTTCAGGAGAAAACTTCTTAATTGATTTCTGGATGCGAGTTTGAATGAAGCTTCACACACAGGTTGCCTGAATCAACACGTACTCTGACTCTTCCCCATACTTCCTTAACCACTCTTACTCCATATGATAATCAGACAATTCCCTGCTGCAAGAAAAGAAAAAACAAACGAACAAAAAAATCTCTGCCCAAATAAATAAAGAAAAAAAAAACCAACATACAAAAAACAATAAATGAAAACTAAGAAAGGAAATTCACTACTACAAAACTATCATCTGCATTCTAAAAACTCCTAGCAGCTTTTGGGGACTAATGAATGAAAGACCACAGTCAAAAGATGAACAAATCTCTGGGCAGCTTAAGATCCAGCACAGATAGGTGAATGAAGTAAGGGAAGAGAAAGTCTCTTTTTTGTTTTTGTGTGTGTGTGTGTAAAAGGAGTACATTACTATTTAAAAAGTAGCTGGAAATATCTTCCTCTTAAGTTTTTTAACTGGAACTTTGACATAAAGATTAGAGATCTTGTAAGTCACTGGCATTATTTCAAAAGTAGCTGACAGCAAATGCTGCACTGACTTCACAGGGGCCCAGATTTCACTTAGTTCCTATATCACACTGTCTCAGACATCTGGGTGCATCACATCATTGAGATACTATGCATATGCTCGGTTCTTTTCACCCTAAGAAATGATAAATGAAGCCTGGACTCTACTATAGAGTCTGGCTGCTTTATTTTAAGAAGTCTACGGCTAAAAGAGCAACAAGTTCATTTTTTTTTTTTTTCCAAAAAGAAGATAAACAAAAGCAGCTATTGTAAAACAATAAGCCTGACTTAACAGAATGCTGCAAGCTCCAATACCACCCTGTGTTATAGTATGAGTGGTTCGCTCGGCTGAAAGTGATTAATTTCTTGAAAATGCTAAGGTCATACTAATTGACATGACCTGTGTAATTAAGCAGTCTCTGTTTACACACAGAAAGCTCAACTGCTGTGAAGCTAGGTTTGTATGACAGAATGTCTTTACAAGTCAAGAGATCAACAACCTTTCCTATGTCCTACCTACTCACCGACACAGGCTCCCGATTGCTGTGCTGAGAGAACACACAAAGGCATTACCATATGAAAATCAGCCTCGAGTGTGGACAAGCACATACCCAGCAGAGTGTACATGTTGTGAAGCAAGCTCTGACAGGCCCCAGGGGTGACTCCTTGGCCTAAATCCCTGTGCTGGTGAGAGTCCTTTTTCCGCTTTCTCCTTCAGTGATAATGCCCTCTCAAATCACAGGAGAGAGACATGTCAGAGGGAGGAGTATGGGGTGAGAAGCCAAGGGCTCTGCCATGCTAATGGTAGCTTTTATACTGATTAATTTAATCCCTGTGGCCACATCTCCCCATTTCTGCACTTCTGTGCTCAGAGGGGCAAATAACATCCTTCTGCCTTTCAGCATTGTTGCAATTAAGCATTTCAACAAAAGACATATGTTCCACATATAAATAACATTTTCATTTACATAGCATTTAACACTTTCCTCAAAGTATGCTGGAAAAAAAGGAAACAAGATCCTGAGTTACTGCAGAAAGCACCTGTCTTTTGGGCTTTCTTCCTCCAGGACCCATGTACTCTATAGGACAAATCTATTTCTTCCCCAGAACCCTGAAGGAAATCCCTACAGATAGACTCTATCATGTCTCCTCCCATCAAAAGAGAAGGTCCTTCATCTCTCTACCCGATATTTTTATTCAGTACATACTCAGGTAAAGTGTTATTGGCACAGTTAAAGGACCACATCTTCAATAAAGGGGTCAGAGCAACTATTTCTTAGCAGTGCAACCACACCACTCTGCTGCCAGCAAGCGCAGATCCTCTTCCCAAGGGACAGTGCTGTATTTGATCCCAAAAGTAGGCATGGACATGGTTGTAACACAAAGAAACATCCTTGGACATCTGAAGCTGTGACAATACTATAGTTTTCAAGCCCCACTGTCACATGCTGCAACAGCAGGGAAATACCAGCCCAAAACATCCCAAGAAATATACAGCCAGTGGCAGTTTTTCCAAGTGCTGGCTACAGGTATGGACCTTTATCCCATTGATGCACTTTTATGAGTCTTTACCACTGCTGAGGAATAACTGCTGAACTGTAGTCACGAGCCTGATTTTATTAATTGTTCTTATACACTCCTCTACCCCTTCCAAATAAACATGATGCTCACTCAGTGTTCACATGAAGGCTAAAAATTCCCCAGGCAGAAGGGAATATCTCTGAGCAGGGTAGCCCCTTAACCTAAAACAACAGTGAGGTCATTCTGATTTTTCCTCTTCATGCTTTCACTTCCTGTGAAGGTGACATTATCTTTAAGAGTTCTCCTGTCCAGAGCAAGAAAACCCAACTACTTCCTGCCAATTTTGCTGTGACAAGAAGTCCTCAGGCAATATTCTGTGACCTTGTGATTTTTAGCATCTTCCAGGGAATTACTAGGTTAGTTTGGGTCAAAGTACTTCTGTCCCTAACAGCTGCTGATTTTTAAAGGAGGAAGCATGTCGGACTGACCTGGAATCGACGCATGTCTCGAGGGTTTCCTGCATTTTTTAGGCAATTTTGGTTACATTTGAGGAAAAATTTCAAGAAGAACCTGTGGAGAAAGAGAAATGGACGTTAACGTCTTATAAACAGACCACAGTAGTACTATGTAACATCTGCACATGTGGTCCAACAAAGCCTTATTTACATTAGTATTTCCAACTCAGACAAATCATTCCACTGACCATCCAAAGAGGAAGCAGAGCTTACAGGGGCCTCAATCCAGCAAAATATGTAAGCGTGTCCTAAATATTCAAGCATTCAATTAATAGAACTGTTTTGTCAGAGCCATCAAAGTTTGCAGAGTCAGTCCCTTTACCCCACTAAATGGTCAGCTTCACTGTGCCATCCACAGCAGCAAGGAAGCAAGAAACAGACTCCAGCACGGCAAAAAGAGGGCAGAAAAATGCCAGCCAAGAAAATTCCCTTATGAATAAATGGAGTTTTGTTTTACAAGTCCACTGTCATGTGCAAATTTTGATTTAATGCAAAAATACTGAAAATGTTCCATACAGTTGAAATCTCCCTTCCACAATTAAACACAGTTTGTGCATAAAATTAATGCTCAAATAGTGGTTAGTGGGACACCAAAACCCTGAAAGGGAGAAAAGGATGAAGTCTTGGTTAAAAGACTGACTTTGCAGAAAAACAAAATATTTTCAATGCAATCTATTTCCTGACCATACACAGTTCGCTGAAGTAGCCATACGACCCTGACATATATCTCTAAGAAAAGACATTGCATTTTACAAAGCCAAAGAAAAAAGCAAACATCTCACTGAAAATATTTCCCTTCAGTGTTATGTACCAGTGGACTGTAAACTCATAAAGACAAGTCAATGAATAACAGTTGGTCTCCGATTCCAGGCTTCTTCCCTGAGAGCCAAAGTTTATCAACCTTTTGTCCAAAATAAACTACAGGCTAAGGTCTACTAAAGCTCAGTCATGCAAAATTTAATCCTACAGTAAGTTTAAAACCTAGAGCAATCAGACAGAGCAGCATTACACTTGCAATAACCATCACTTGACTAAGCAGAAGCTAATCTGACCTGCTTCCATACACAAAAGCAGGGCAGGGAAGTGTTTGATCCTGCTTTACTTCAAATCAGAAAGTTAAGTTTTGCAAGCATCCATCTTTTAGCACCCAAACTGAGTGCTAGGTCAGCAGAATTTTCACACACTGCCACTAAGAAAAGCAAAACTGCAGGATAAACATCTTCAGAAAATCCCTTTTTGATGAGCAGCATTCTTTGCCCAGCTTTAGTTGTGATGCCACCCCACAAGAAGGGAAGTTTTCGTGCTTGTTCCTCCATGCCAAGAAAATCATACTCTGCAAATCGCTGCAAGGACAAATCGAAACCACAAGGGACTGTTTTCATTAAAGAAAAAGAAGGTAATTAGGAGGTTTCTAAAACGTGATGCTTGGGATTATCAAGGACTGGATCTCCTGACCCAGGAAGTCCCTTCTAGAGCTGTGCTCCTAAGTAAGAGCAAGCAATCAACATAAAATAAACAGCCACCACGCTTGAACAGCGGGGTCTGGAGACGCTGTTTGTTTACACTAAAATAAAGAGCAGTGTAAGCCATTACATTTTCTCATCAAGTAGGTTCTGATACTCAATAACGGAAAGTTGGTGCTATTTGTTGTACATGTGTGTGTCTTTTTAAGCCTCTAATGGCCAGCTGTGACAGCCTGACTCAGATTGTGTAGAAGGAGCTGTCAGCACAAATCTTGGCATCTCAAATCCAGACAACTGCTTGCCACCAGGCGAGGGTTTGTACTCGTGCCAGAATGGATTTTGAGAGACAAGCAAATAGGGCATTAATTCCACCAAAGAAAAACGAAAAGCGGGGAGAGTTCAGGATCTTACACTTCAGATGATGGCTTTCCTGTCAGCAGCTCGTCATTTAGTCCATGAGCTATGAAGGGCACGGACATCAGATCCTTCTTGCCCTAAGCTGGCCCTGTCATGCGAAATGCTGGCAGGATCCAGAGACCACCCCTCCGTGCGAGATTGCTTGCTGAAATAAAAAGCCTGGCCATCTGTTGGGAGGCAAAGACAACCCTGTCAGCTGGTGCCTACAGCCTCAAAGAGGCCCTTATGTGGCAAAACCTCTCGGAGCGACTTACTCTTTGGGGAGAAGCCGGCACTACCCCAGGTTTGCCGGTAGATTTTTGGTGGCTTTGCCAAGCGCCAAGCCCATCTGCCCGTCTGGTCTGGCACAGCCCTGGAGCAACACCTTGGCCCCAAGCAGAGCTGGGGCACGGAATAGTTAAAAATATCTGCGCTGAAAGACAAGTGTTAGCCATGCAACTGTGGGAGTGCCTTCCGGGTCTGGCTTTGCACATCTTGCATGAGCGCTTGGCAACAGAGGTTGCTCAGTTGACTCAAGGGCCCCAAAAGAAATTGAAAGTTTTTATGAAGCTCTCTGGAAAAGATTGAGCCTTCCCTTCCAACATCTGAGCTCACATCAGCTCAAAGGCTTGGAAAATCACTATGAAATACAGAAGATGGCTTTTGGGCTCTGCAAACTCTAACTCAAAGTTTTGAAGTCTAATTCCATTTGCACTGTGCCATATCCCCCAAATTCTACAGAAATCTCACCAAAGTCAACTGCAAAAGAACTGAAGCTCGCCTATTTAAACCCACCAAAAAACCTCAGGCAAGCAAGCAAGCAAACAAAACTTCCTTTGAATTAAATCAACTCCAGAAAAAAACTAACTTAAAAAAACCCAGCATTTTCAGAGGAACTTTCAAGACCCCAAGCTTACACAGCCAAATTTGCTCAGTGCATTTTAAGTAAAAAGTTGCCAGTTTACAGAACACATTCTGCCAAACGCCATATTTTCACTCCACTGAAAGACAAAACAAACTATAAGCTGCACTTTGTTTTGGAACACACTAGAGAGCTGGAGTCCCCCCGGCTACGCAAAAGCATCCTACGCTCATCTAGGCAAGAGTCGAGCAGCTCCCGAGCTGGCACAGCATATGTCGGCCGACAGTCTTCCGCCTGCTTTGGCAGGAACACGGATACGAACAGATTAAGACAAGGGTGGAGCGGAGCAGTTTGATTCACAGGGTTCAGCCCAGGCTCTCGGTTCCTACTTTAAACTGCTTATTCAGATGCCTTCTTCACCTCAAGTCTGGTCCTGCCAGCCTCGCTCATTAACAACACTTCACTCTACAAATATTTCAGATTTAGATTGACAGGACTGGTCCAGGACAAGTGCCAACAGAGCTGAGCTCATTGTAAGCACAAACCTCCATCTCCGTTTGTTTGCATCTTCGCAGTGGCTTATTTTTTTTCAGTTTTAACTTTCTCTACATTTGGCAGGGCTGTATAGCATTAATACTAACCACAGAGGATATATAGCATTAATACTAACCACTGGGGTCTGAAATTCATTCCCAAGATGAAAAAAAATGTGCAAAACACAGGAGTGTCAATAAAATTTTCAACTTTAACTCTGTCTCCAAATGTGATTGCTGAATACCAGCTCTTCTGCCACACAAGGCTCAGTCATCAATTATATTTATTGCTACCATGAAGGTTTATTTTTTTGCATGAATCAAACAAAGCATATTTCCTGACTCCCTTCCTGACTACTAACATCCCTGGTGTGAAGAGCATGTGTGGTTATGGAGGAGAGAAACACTAGCCAGCTCCATGCGAGTCACTTCAGGTCCAGAAACATGCAAACTTTTACAAAGTACTTGGATTTACTAACACTGCAGTTAAACGGAAGGACTCTGCCTCACCTTTTACCGCACTGAGACATGGTTGGATGGTATGGGAGTGACGTTTGGAGAAAACAAGCTAGTTTTAGATTACATTTAGGTGTGCTAAGATGCAGCTCAGTGCAGGCTGCAAAGACTAATCAAGGAGTAAAGTTGCTGAGCAGTTAATCCATGCCATGGTATTGTACTACTACAAATCTCTAAAGTAACTGCAAGGACCAATGTAGAAACACAACCCTTAATTAAATAAAAACCTCCAGTCTGAATCAGGCCCCGAATTAAGGTGAGCTTCTGTCTGTCAGGCAGAAGCTCTAACAAATGGGTTATCAGCTCTTTCGGGAGTGCTCTCTCCTTTTCTTCTAACTCGAAAGAAAATTCGTTTTTGGAGATGAAGATTATTTTTTTCCCTAACAAAACTGCAGCATTCCCAAAAATATTTTGGTGTCAGCACAACTGTGCTCTCACCATTACTCTCTACCAGTGAGGGATTCCTACCCCAGCTCACTCTGATCTCTGCTGCTTTTCCATGCTGCTACTTCTGCCTCCTGACACGGGCTCGCTCCGCGCTCCTGCTCCTTCCACCCTCTGATTCCCCTCGTCCAGCACATAAGCAGCTGGTGGTTACTCCACTTGTATGAAATACTCCTGCCATTCATCACTGGCCACCTTGTCCATCAACACCACAAACCATTTGGGTTTGGGCAATACCCTCCCCAGCAGCACCCTGCTCTTTGTCACTGGTAACTACCACAGTAATTTAAATCAAATAAACACACGGCAGAAATGGAAATACTAGCAATAAAGATGTAAAAAATTTTGCCTCCTACTTTTCTTGCCACTACAAATTAATACCCATGTTTATTAAAAATAAATGAAGAGTTACATTAAAGAAAGGAAGCTCTGACATGATCTAGGTTGGCTTTTCTGTCACTCCCCTAAAGGAAATTTAAAGGAACTCAAACACCAAGGCTTAGCAGCAGAACTTTCTTACCATTGCCACAATAAATACGTCTGTGGAAAGAGAAAAAAATAGTTGGAAAGAAGACCTGCTGCATTCCTGATGCTGAAGAAAAGCTTGTTTGTTCCTGATACATTGGAGAAGTTGTTCAAGAACAGTTCATCCATATGAAAATATGACAGCTGTCATGCTGCCAAGGTCAGCCAGACCAGTGGCTATCCAGAAAGTGAGTGCCGGTTATACAACTTAAACCTAGCTAGCGAAAGTAAAATTGACAAAATGCACCTTTTCTGAGGTGTAAACACATTCAGGAGAAGAGAGAAACTTCAGGCTCCTGGATGAAACACAGCAGTAAG